CTTGTTGTTAGTAAAAAATAAAATATTTTACAAACAAATAAAGTTATCGTAAATCTAAACTAACCAATTGAAAGTTAAGCTAATTCCGCATCCAACGAGCCCTATGTGAAGTATTTTGGATGAGTAGATTGTTAATAAACAATTGCAATGTTAACTAATTGTTTATTAACAATCTACTTATCCAAAATACTTCATATAGGGATCGTTGGATGCGGAATTACGTTAACTTTCAATTACTAACTTCAGAATTACGGTAACTTTATTCGTTTGTAAAATATTTCATTTGTTATAAACATTAATTAATTAATTAATTAATATCTCAAAAACTTTAAAAGATCCCACTCTGAAAATTACATGTTTTGTAGGAAATTAGTCAAGCTTTCCATTGAGATAGTTAAAAATAATTTTAAAAAATCCGATTTTGAGATAAACGTAAATTAACATTTTGACCTTGAATTTCAAGGTCAAATGTTATTTAAAAAAAAAAATTTTTATTAACAGCGTGTAGCCCGTCAAAAAAGCTTTAAAAATCATTATATATATGTTAACTTTTATGCATTCTACTTATAAATATTGTACATTGAAAAAAATTTTTTTTTTCAAAAGTCAAAAATTAAAAACGTTGTAATTCAAAAACTATTTTATTAAATTCAATAATAATTGATTTTTAGACTCTCACCAACAATAACAACATTTTAGAAAAGTATGGATTAAATTTGAGAACTTTTAATTTTTTGTTCGGACATTTCATGAATTTTGCCTCATATATAACAGTGTTTGCTGGGCAGGCACACAAAAAATAAAAAGTTGTTTGGCCGAGACACTACACTAGTCTATTTTCATGTATTTTTTCACGCTGAATCCGAATCCGAAGTCAGAATTATCAGATTGGCTCTTATTTTTGAGATAAACTCAAAAAACTGTTCAGAAAGAAAAATAAAATCAAAAAGTTAAAAAATTTTTGAATGTCACTGCGATAGTGTAATTCCATGTATTTTTTGTCGCTGAATCCGAATCCAAAGTCAGAATTGTTAGATTCGCTCAAATTTTTGAGATAATTGCAAAAAAACACAAGTAACATAAAACTCAAAATACTCAAAATCAGTTTTTTGGAATTATCTTCAAAATTTCAGCCAATCTGTCAATTCTGACTTCGAATTCGGATTCAGCGTGAAAAAATACATCAAAATGCACTATCGTAATGTTTCGGCAAAAAAAAATTTCTTTGAGCTAAAATCGCCAAAAACTGATAAAAATTCTGAATTAGGGGCACAGATAATTTTTTTTGCCGAAACACTACGATAGTGCATTTTCATGTATTTTTTCACGCTGAATCCGAATTCGAAGTCAGAATTGACAGATTGGCTGAAATTTGGAAGATAATTCCAAAAAACTGATTTTGAGTATTTTGAATTTTTTGTTACTTGTGTTTTTTTGCAATTATCTCAAAAATTTGAGCGAATCTAACAATTCTGACTTTGGATTCGGATTCAGCGACAAAAAATACATGGAATTACACTATCGCAGTGACATTCAAAAATTTTTTAACTTTTTGATTTTATTTTTCTTTCTGAACAGTTTTTTGAGTTTATCTCAAAAATAAGAGCCAATCTGATAATTCTGACTTCGGATTCGGATTCAGCGTGAAAAATACATGAAAATAGACTAGTGTAGTGTCTCGGCCAAACAACTTTTTATTTTTTGTGTGCCTGTGTTATAATTATTAATTAAAATAAATAAGTATATATATTTATATATGTGTAAAATAATATTGATGTTAATAATAATGATTAATTGCCTATATAATTACAAAAAATAAAAAAAATAAAAAATGTTCGTCGCATTTTCGTCCAATATTGTAAGCACGTCCCAAGTAGACAGTGTTCGCTTCGTGTTGCGTTCGCTCTGTGTTCGCCTAGTAGATAGGCGCCTTTAAGTCGGTTCTACAATAAGCGCGTCGGACGTTCACTATCGCGTCCACGTCCGACGCGCTTATTGTAGAACCAACTTTACTCTCCACGCAATCCGAATGTGCGTACGGTTCACGCGTTTCGACTGTGTCAAGGGTCAAGTCGCACGTCTTTTCGCGAGACTTGCTCTATCTTCAAAAATTCTCTCACATCCCTGCTTAACCGTTTCTAATTAACCTAATTAATAACTAATCCTAATTAATATGTGTGTTATATGATAATAATATTATTATATTAAAATATAGTTTGTTAATATAATGTGTTACAAATACACATATGTATGTGTAACATATTACATATTTACTATAAGTTAATAATATTTACAATTAACAATTAACAAATTATAATTATTGTAATAGCAATTATAATTAATAATTAGTTAATAATAATTTATTATGATACAATAATTATTTATAATAAATTATGCCATAAATGATATACAAGGTTTAAAAAACACATCTAACTTCGAACATAACCTTTTATTTAAATAAATAATTAAAAAATCGGCTCGGAAAAGTATCCGGCGAACAGAAGGTTAAAAGAAGTGGCTCGAGGAAAGCAAAGGGCCTGTCGCGTTAAGAGTGGGAGGTGCAAGGATGAATAGAGATAGGCCGTAAAGCGAAAGTGGAGAGAGCGAATAGGGAAAAGAGTGGAAAGCATGAAGTGAAAAGGAGCGCGCCGATGGGATGTTTGGAAAAGTGTAGAGAAAACACGTCACCAATGACTCGGCTAAGGACAAGAATTTATAAAGATGTAGCAAAGTTTTTGCATTCTTCATGAATTCTCGTTACCCCCATCAGTGACCTGTATTAATGTATAATAATATTCTTATAAAAAATTCAATACAATATAACTAAATAAAATTTAATTATATTTAACTTTATCTTACTTCTTTATAGTGTGGTGTAAAAAAAATTGGTAAGTCTCAACAAATTGCAAGTCTTATAGTAATTTTTTACGCAAAGAATTTAAAAATTACTTAAATATAAAACAAAGCAAATATTAAATTTCTAAAAAATATAAATTATAAAAATCTACAAAATTCAAAACTTTTAAAAGTTCCTAAATTAGTTTTAACCTACCAAAAATGACTAAATTTTGCAATTCGACTAATTTTAATTACTACACTGGAAAGTCCCAAGAGCGTACGGCATTAGTCTTAGCAAAATACAATTAATAAAAAGGAAGACATTCAATTTCTTAGGAATACTTATTTCCTTCTATTAAGGAAATTGAAAGAATGATTTTGTTTCTTTTATTCTGTCTCTTTTGTTTTGTTTCGAGTTCATTGACTCCACGTGTAGTATATATAGTGTGAATTGTCACCTTCTTATTTCAGTTTTTAATTTGCTTTACGATGGGTGATATTTTGCCTGCAAAATTTGTTTTTATTTTTGACATACAATTTGACGTGTTACTAATGTAACTAATTAAATTTAATTTAACTAGGTAATTATATTTTTATTTATATAAAAATAAGAATTTAATAATTCTAATGTTTTCTTATAAAAAGTTTTATGTAGTTTGTGAGTGATTAATTTGTTTTAATTTTGTTCAATAAAGTGGCCTGATGATGGTGTCAAACCAAGACACCAAAACGTTGCCAAACAATTGATTTGGTGTTTCATTACTCAATTCCAATAATCGAAAAAAACTTAATTTCTAATACAATGTTCTTTAATTTTAATAGAACAATTTATAGAACGTGTTGCTGGGATGGTTTTTGCCATGATAATAATCAAATTTGCCCCAATTTTCACTATAATTTTCGTAATCAGCTTACCAAAATACTTTAGTATACTAAATTTATTAAAATTGGAGGTACCCCTACGTACTTTGGAAGTATATCCGCATTGAATTGAATCGATTCGTATATATAAAGTATACATTTGAGTTAAATTTAAAAAATTAATGAAAGTTAAAAAATCAAAAATTCACATTTTAGCTAAAAAAATTTGTGTTTGTTTAAATTCAAGTTTAAACATAAAATAATTGTATTCCTTGCATTAACATAAATGGATTGATATTAATTTAAATTAATTTTTAATTACTTAAATTTAAATCAATTAAATAAGTAAAATAAATTTTTTTCTTCACACAATGAGGAAGCAAAATGTTCATGAAATTAACATAAACGACCACCTACTTATTTTCTTTTATAAAAGGTCGAGAATTGATTGATTGTCACTTACAATTAATGGCCGCTAAAATAAATGCCTCGCAAAACAGACCCGCGCAATTGTTGCGACCGTTAGGCACGCCGATTTAAAAAATGAATTTTACACTCCTCGCTGACAATTAACACAATAAAAAAATCTCGTTTTCCACATTTGGTTGAAATTTCCCCACAAGGGATGCCAATTGTAATGGTGGAATTTAACATTTTTGAATATAAATAAATGTTCACCGTCCACATTATTTAAACACTAACTAACTTTTAATTAAAAGATTTAAAACAAGGAACAAAACTCACTCACACAACGATAACGAAGACGACGTTGACTCGAACGATGTGATTCCTTGAAACACTTACAGAATAAACTAATAGTAAACTAAACATCAAATAAAGATGTATTAAATACAAAAAAAAACTAATTATAATATATACAAGAAAATTAAGCGTGTATTTTTTAGTACATTCTTTTCTTCATCCTTATTTTTTTTTCAAAATCTACAAAAATTTTAACAAAAATTATCCAGAAGTAGATTACTGTTCAAGTTTTGAAATAGTGGCACAATATATTATGAGGAAAAGAGATGTTCAGTTCTTTCATTCATTTTCTATCCCTTCTTTTAACATCTATCATAACAAGAAGACCCTATAAGTAAAATTAAGATTGGTCATCATTTAGTTACCTATCCTGTTTTTAGTGTAATTTATTTAATAAAGCTAGACTTAACGAATGACGTATTCAATATGCAATTATTTTGTCATTCTTTTACTTTGCCGGTAGACTAGATTATTGTTGAATGGTGTTAAAACTTTTTAATTCTTTTGATTTAGTGATTTAATTCTTTTATATTTCACAGAAACTCCATTATGGCTACTGCTACAAATAGCGCCAATAAAAAACGAACGAGATCTAGTGGTCCTGTTTTTGTTAACTTTTCGGGATATAACGGCATTGAAACAACCAATCGAGACAGACGACACGAAAGGAGGCCTTTCCAAATTTGCCAAACTAGCCAGATCAGTTACCAGATCCAGGTCAGTCCTTGTTTCCCAATTCAGCTCTCATCTGCCAGCACTGAAAGACTCAACAATACCAATTGCAACAAAGCAAGCATATTTGGGTCCTGTAAGTATACTCTCTTAATGATCAAAAAATATGCTTTCATGTACTTTTGATAATAGAGGTATTTCTTATGAAAAGACGAGGTTATGTCTCGGATTTTTATCAAAATTCGGTACTTTGTAGTGATAGTGGTGCTAAATAAGTGTACAAATTTTGAATTTGAAATTTTTAATATTTTTGGAGATATTTACAATAACAAATTTGAGCAATATTTTTTTGCTTTAGTTAAGTATAACTTTTTCCCTACTAAAAATATAAAAAAATGTTAAGAATGTTTTTTACGTAGAAGACCTTAAACTTTCAGAAAAAAATTATTCTTTTTTAAATATTAATTTTTAAACAATTTGTTTAAAAAATAAAATTTGTTTATAACTTTTAAACATGTGCTCCCTTATTTTGAAGAGTGCATAAGATCATGAATATTGTTTAAGTTATAATAAATCAATGGTTAAATTTTTGAGATGGCATTATTTTTTGTTTTCGAGATATTAATTCATTAACTAACAAAAGTTAATAAAAAATGATATATTTTACGAACAAATAAAATTAAAATAATTTTAAAAATACCATTCCAATGCTTATCAAAATCCGCATCCAACGAGCCCTATATGAACTATTTTGGATAAACGGGTGTTAAATTAATAATTACTAATAAAAATTATTTAAATAATTAATAACATTTAATCAAATGAAGATAAATCGTCAATTCTTTTTTTATTTAAAAGATCATCTAATTTTGCGTCAAAAAAAATATTAAGTATTAATAAGAATCGAAAATTATTTATAAAAACTTATTTAGAAAAAGACTGAAAAATACCATGCGAGTAGGTAGGCAGCCCCCTACAACTTGTGTCGTAGGGTACTGAAATAACTATTTTCAATAATCAACTGTTAATAATTTGGATTGAAAAATATGCTATTTACACTGGTTTTATTTGACACAGATTTACATGATCTTTCAAATAAAAAAAGAATTGGCGATTTATCAATATTTTTTCAAATGTTATTATTTATTTAAATAATTTTTATTATTAATTATTAATTTAATACCCGTTAATCCAAAATAGTTCATATAGGGCTCATTGAATGCGGATTTTGATAAGCATTGGAATGGTATTTTTAAAATTATTTTAATTTTATTTGTTTGTAAAATATTTCATTTTTTATTAACTTTTGTTAGTTAATTAATTAATATCTCGAAAACAAAAAATAATACCATCTCAAAAATTTAACCATCGATTTATTAAGACTTAAACAATATTCATGAGTTTTTTCGCGGTTCAAAATGAGGGAGAACAAGTTCAAAAGTTATTAACAAATTTTATTTTTTAAACAAATTGTTTAAAATTTAATATTTAAAAAAAATAATTTTTTTCTAAAAGTCTTCTACGTAAAAAACATTCTTAACATTTTTTTATATTTTTAGTAGGGAAAAAGTTATAACTTAAGCAAAAAAATATTGCTCAAATTTGTCATTGTAAATATCTCCAAAAATAATAAAAATTTCGAATTCAAAATTTGTACACTTATTTAGCACCACTATCACTACAAAGTACCGAATTTTGATAAAAATCCGAGACATGACCCCGTCTTTTCATATGAAATACCTCAATAATTAATTTCATAAATTTAAGGTTACTAGACTGGCTTAATATTTTGTTAAACTGTTGGTCTATATATAACAAATCCCTAAAATATTCACTCATTAAAAAAAACTGTAAAAAGTAGTCGGATTTGAAAAATTGACATTTTGAGTAACAATCTTACATTGAAATACGTATTATATTGAATTATAACGGGTAGGAGGTATTTACTAGCGTATTAGAGTGTACATTCACCTTTTAACCTTTCCGTACCTCAACTAGATCTCTCGGACCCAAACAAATTGCTTTTTCCTCTACTTCTACACGGAGAGAAAAATCTGCCTTTTATAGTATGAAATAGATTGCTGCTATTTTTCTTTAAACTTTTCATACTAATAGAGCAAAGATTTGAGAATTTTTAGGATAGTATTTGTCCGTACTAAAAAAGCATAGTATATATGCTTCTATAGTACAAAACATGTAGTTTAATAGCAACAACGCCATGCGAAGATCGCACATAACATCATCCTACTATGTTTGCATAAGTTCTATGCTTTTTCGGGGATAGACTCTTGCAACTGGCGATTAGGCCACGCCCACCTTTACTGAATTGGAACTGCCCTAATCGCCAGTTGCAAGAGTCTATCCCCGAAAAAGCATAGAACTTATGCAAACATAGTAGGATGATGTTATGTGCGATCTTCGCATGGCGCCGTTGGATTAAAAGTATAATAAGTATGTAATAAGAGGCTATATGACAAACTTTATTAGCATAGACAAGTTTCATGCTAAAAAGACATACGATTGTACTATAATTACTCAAATTTCATGTCTATATAGCATAGAAAATTTCTGTGCATTAAATGTAAACCTTTCTATACTATAAAAGGCAGATTTTTCTCTCCGTGTATTTAAGAAAATTTTTTTTCAAAATCGTTATCAAATTAGATAATCTGATGATATAACGTACACTTGAAAACAGAAACAGAATTTAGGACTTAGAATTTTTTTTCTCTTCAAAATATTTTTTAACTTAAAACACATTAATTATTTATTATCTTACTTAAATTCTAACTTTATTTTGATTTTTGTTTTATTTGTACACGTTTATACAGAAATTAGGAATGAAAAAATCCACCCGGACCTGGGATCGAACCCGCGATACGTTGGGTTCAAACTCTACGCCTTAAGGGGAGGGATCGGTGAAATTTCAACATCGAAATTAATGTTGTTAAAGGGTGTCAATTTTTTTCTGTCATTATTTTGGATCTAAAATTATTGTGAATTATCAAAATTAAAAAAAAATTTTTTTGACTATTGTCAAAATTTTATTTTTTGAAAATATTAAAATTCTTAAAAATCCATACGATTTATTGTTCAGAATTATGAAAAAAGTCTACAAGAACATTACCGATAAAAAATAATAAAAATCGTAGAAGAAGTTGAATTTTTAAGGAATAATTAATCAAATTGCAACCAAACATAATTGGTTTGGTTTAGCGTTTAGAACCTGAAATCATATTTCACTATGAAAAATGAAAAAAAGTTATTTTTAACAAATTTTGCATTTTTTTTTATTTTTCAAAAATTGAATTTTTTCAAAATCCATACGATTGATTGTTCAGAATCTTGAAAAAAGTGTACAAAAAAAACAGCAATGAAAAATAATAAAAATTGTGACAGAAGTTTAAATTATTAGTTTTTGAAAATTTCGAGATTAATTTTAAAAATTATTAATAAATTAATTGTTTATCAACTTTCCATAGTAAAGGGTCAGTTGGGGTAAATAGGGACAGGGGGTATATGGGGACAAGAGGTTTTGGAGCTTAATTTACAGTTTTAAAAATAAGTTCAACGTCAATATTTTAACCTCAGATCACCTGCAAGAGGTTTTGAGTATTGACAAGCTTTTATCTTGACAATTGGCAGCAAGATAATTCAAGGTATCGCTCAATGCATAAATACTTGAAAATCAAAGTCAAACTGTTTCAGTATTTTGTCTCGCATTTGAAAAAACAGACTTAAAAATCACACCATATTTTTTTCTTATTCCTTATGACTCCTTTAACAGAAATTCACTTAAATTTTTTATTTTTATTAATTTGGTTAATAATGACAAGCTGTCCCCATTTACCCTGAGTTTTCAAATTTTTGGGGTAAATGGGGATAGCTTGTTATTATTCACCAAATTAACAAAAATTAAAAATTTAAGTGAATTTCTGTTTTAGGACTCATAAGAAATAAGAAAAAAATTTGGTAGGATTTTTAAGTCTGTTTTTTTCAAATGCGAAACAAAATTCTGAAATAAAAAAAAATTCAATTGGTTCAACTATTATATATCTACTACAAATTTTTTTCAAGTTTTTTCATCCCTTAATACAGTAATATTGAAGCATTATTAACTCTCACACCGGGGATATATACTACTGTACGTGTTTATGTTTACCTTCTTATCAATCTAGGCCTTAATTTGCTTCGGTTCTGAGAAATTAATAAGTTCAAAAATGTGGTTGAATGACCGTAAACATAAATGTTTAGATGGTGATCACCCACATTACGTAAGTTTATACAAAAGGAAGAATGGCTATTGTCTAAATTTAAAGGGACATTGTATTTTCAAATTTAATTATTTGATACAATGAACACGTCACAGAAAATTAAAAGGCATTAAAATAAGTTGCAACGCTTATTATTTTAATCCAATTTTGCTTATTTTAATCCATTTTGGTATTAAAATAAGCAAAATTGGATTAAAATAATAAGCGTTGCAGCTTATTTTAATGCCTTTTAATTTTCTGTGGTGCCAGCTAAATCAACAGATATGATTGTAATTATATAATGGAATAATTTAAATTAGATCAATCCTTAAATTTATTATTTCTATAGATATATTTAAAGGAAAATATTTATTTTATTTTTAGAAAACTTGTTGCTTGTTTACCAAATTAGAGGAATCTTTCCTATAATTATTCGGTAGATCAGCTGTTTATTTTCTTATTCACTTCTACTTTTATACATGAATAAATGTCATATATCGTTTCGAAGTTGAATATTTTTACTTTACAAAAAAAATAAATATTTATTATTAATAAAAAAATAAAATATACAATCAATCATATAGTATAATTATTTATTGTTTAAGTTTGAATAATTAATTGTGAGTTCGTTCTGAATGAAATTAAATGAAATAATCTTATTAATTAACTTAAATTTTTCACCTTTTTGTCTGACTTCTTTCTAACAAATTTGTTTTTCCTCAATTGAAATTGAAAATTAGCTCGTAGGCTTATCTCTATAAAAAAAATATATAAAATAAAATTTCAACGAAATAAAAGAAACCTGTCAATTCCTATCGACTATCAAGGTCAAGTTCTCTATTCCCTAAATTAGTTAATCTATCATAAGTAAATAAATTTTCCA